CGTTCGTGTGTGGGTTTTTCGATGATAGCGACCTAAGTTCGCTCATCATCGAATCCGTTTCGTCTGATCGGAGGGCAGGATTTTTTGGGGGGGGATGGATCGGATCACCTGCTTCGGTGTCCGGTGGGCGTTTCTGAGGCATACGACGATGATTTGGGGGGTTTCTTGTGATGATGATTGATCCTCGATCACCATCCATTTCAATCAAGTCTACACAAACTTAACTAAGTCCCTCTCGGACGAACGAGTAGTCGAGAGAGGGACTTACCGCTAAAACACGAAACTTCCCCTGAGAAGTGAGCTGTATTCGAGAAAAAATCGATACATTGCTCTAGCATCTTTCTTTTTTTATAAACTGTTCTTGATGCAAAATAAAAGGAACAAGGCGCTTGCCAGTTACATATGCTCCAAGTTTCAAATCCCAAAAAGCTCACCTGGAAGTGGTTCTACAAAGGAAAATCATGGTGAGGTCCTAAGTAGAGGTCTTCAACCGCTGCGCAGGCAGAAAGTCAAGCCAAATACAAGCCCTATTGCCAAACTGCAGTTTGACGCGTGCAGAATTTTTTGCCAAGTCTTGGTCAAGAATTTTGCAAAGTCCCTGCCGCCTTCGTCACTTTGTTACTGATCTTGACGTCTCTTCATCACGTGTCTCAAATCATCGCTACTCTTGATTTCTTCAAATCGTGATCTATGACGCTGCACCGCACTCGCAGCCAGACTCGGGCATTAGCAGGCTCAGCGGCTTCTCCTGACCCAAATATGGACCAGAGCATCACTCAGAAGCGTGACAGACCAGTTCCAATTGGTGGCCTTGCAAACGCATCCCAATTGCACCAAGCCGAGGTGGCTGAGAAAGTGTTTCAAGACAAATACCACTACCCTGCCCGTCCACTGCAGCTCCTCACCGCAGTCAGTCTCTTGAATAACAAGGTGACCTTTCTGATCGCGGGCACTGGTTATGGAAAGAGCCGCATTCCCGAGCTCTTTGGTAATTTGCATACTGAAGGAATAATCCTTCTGATCTGCCCTTTGGATGCCCTTGGCGACGACCAGGTTGGTGGATTGATTTTGTTATTGATGCTCATAAGACTGAGTGTGGCTGTATCGATGAAGGTCTTAGAAAAAACATTAGTCGGTGAAAGTGCGATCAACTTGACCTCCAAATCAATGACAAAGGAAAGCATGAATGACATCTTGAAGGGAAAATATCGCTACATCTACCTAGTCAGTCCGTGGTTTGGTTCATGAGCAGAGGTAAAAATTAACTGACTTCTACACATTATAGAGCCCGGAAATTGCTCTTACCAACCAAATTTTTGAGCAGTTGTGGCAGAATGCCCAATTTCAGAAGAGCTTGATCCTGAAAGTCGTGGACGAAGCCCACATGATCTACACGTGGGGGCTTGTCGAGTCTGGCAAAGCGAAAAATATGTCCAGTCATGTTAAAGTACAAGATAAGGGAGCGTTCCGGCCTCATTACGGAAAACTCTTTCGCCGGTTCTTGGCTACCGATGACGTGCCTCTGCTGTTAATGTCCGCTACATGTCGACCCCAGGCTGTGGATGCGATTTTAGAAAATCTTAAACTGAAACGCGACGAAGTACAATTTTATTATGGCGAGCTAGTACGACCAGAGATACGCTTGATTCGACGCTCTTTCAAACGTCCTCTACATGCTTCCCTACGCGGTCTAGTTTCAAACGAAGCCCTAGTACCAACTGCATCGATCCCACCGTCACTAATCTATGCGGGCACACAGAATGCGACCTTGGAATACATTCGGATTATGTGCCAATCGCGAGGCCGCAGAGATCTGGCATCCAACCCTTTGAACACGTTTGCTCGACGATACCACGCTTCAACTAGTGAATTCGATAAGCGAGACACGGTCAACGCTTTTGTTAAAGGGGATTTGTCAATGATCTGCTGTACCTTGGCGTTAGGACTTGGCCAGAACTGGCACTGTGTCCGTCGGGTGACCATTGTCGGCCGTCAGGAACCAGCGAATTTGGTACAGATGGTAGGAAGGTGTGGGCGAGACGGTCGGCGAGGCCTGGGTCTCATCTTGGTTGAGGCCAACAGGACTCGCGGGAAAAACAAAGTCTCTGACTTTCCCAATCTCCGAGCGTTCTCTGAAGATGATCGAATGGATGCAATTTCAATCACGCCAGTATGCCTTCGAGTGGCGCTGGCTGTGGATCTCAAGTGAGCTCCTTTGCTTATGTTCACACGCTGTAGGGACTAACATGTTAGGAATTTTCTATGTCATAGACATGGCTGGATTCCTCTTGATGTGAATGAACCCGAAGTCACAAAGGAGCGTGACCGCCAGGAGGCTGAGGGAATGCCTCCTTGCGACTGTTCTAACTGCTTTCCGGAGGAGGCAGAAGCAATTTGGCTCCTCCAACCCCACGTCACCAAAGCCAACTTCAACGATTTACTCAAAATGAACGCTTCCGATCTGGGAACTATGTTGTCCAACGTAGTAATTCCTTCAACGGCGAACAAATCTAAAACACCATGGGTTCCCCTGCGCCTGGACCCGAAGGTTCAATTGTCACAAGATCCACTTGCTTCACAGCTGGTTTTCGAAATGCAGAAATCATTCTCGGCTCTATTCCACAGAGAATTTACCAACACAGCTGATATCACCCCCGAGACTCTCTTTAGTGAAGGACTTGCTTGGGAAATTGCCAAAAATATTGAATACTCAGAAGAAGAGGGTTTCCTCCAGCGGATCTTAGGGTGCGAGGTCATAATGAATCAGTTTGAAGTGTTATTAGGCTCAATAAACACATGGAAAAAAGGAAAACCAGTAGCCTCCAGCTCTGAAGTGTTAGAAACCGGAGTCGTCAAAGTCAAGCCGGCCCGCCGCGCGAAAGCCAAGCTGTGGGTTCCGGAAACCGTTGAGGGTGCCAAGTTGGCGAAAGATCAGAAGGAAAAAGCGAAAAGCGTTAAGAAACAGCAAGATGAAAGTCTCAGAATCGAAAAGGCGGTTCAAAAGGCTCATCATGCTAAGGTAGAGAAACTTCGCAAAGAGGAAGCTAAGCAGGAAAAAAAAAGACAGGAAGAAGCACTTCGATTACAAAAAGCCGCTCAAAAGGCCCTTATCAAGCGAGGAAAGGAGGAAGAGCGTTTGCTAAAAGCGTCGCGAAAGCGTAATGCCGAAGCATCAGATCAATCAAAGGCAAAAAAACCCAAAAGCACCGAAGTGGTTGGTGTTTTGTTTTTGATTTCATGATGAATTCCTTAGTTGAAACTGAGCGACCTTTTTTAAAAACCTCTAGGTGGATCCGTTGTCAGTAGCAAACGAGGTCACTCCTCAACTGCAACATCTTCATCCCCCTCCCCCTCCTCCCCATCATCCTCTCCATCGACTTCGACCGAATTTGGCCCGCCCCAACGAAAGCGAGATCCTTGACCCCCGGCTTTTTCTTCCCGAGTAGCCCGTATCATCGCTTGGATCCCAGCGGCGTAAACGTTAGTGACCGGGGTACTTTGTGGTGCATTCGTAGTTTGGCCGAGCTTGTTATTGGCGTATTGTAAAAAATTTCTCATAGACTCCTTTGAGACTTTGTTAGAATTGTTTTGAAATGAGATATTGTGTCCTGAGCGCATCTTTAATTGCTGAATTAGAAGTCGCAGCTGTAGGGGCAAATATGGCATTGGTGCTTATACGTGACTCACATGCAATCAAGTGGAACATTATGATGAAACTGGCAAGAAAATGACTAACAAGTGGAATGTTCGATGAGAACCAATCCGTCAGGCGCTGAATATCGGTGCCATTCCCCTATGTGAGATGTGCAAACCAGTGAGTGTCAAGATAAGAGTGAGTCGACCGATGAACAGTTATTACATACCGTGTTATTGTAAATATGCTTGAGCCAGCAGTTATTTACTTCCAGAAATTCATCAACAGCCAACCAGTGATTCGCACGCCCATTGGAGGGAATCAGCATCATATGCTTGATTACTTTGGCTAGTTTAGTCGGAAGGTCTTGTTCCAGAAGGAGAACCATGCGAGGCAGGTGGCGGGAATAATGAGACAAACCACCAATACCTTGCGACATAATAGACCAACGCTTCCATATTAGCATTAGTCTTCCAATATCTCCAGCTCTAGTCGCATTATTTGCTTCGATTACAGTCGCAAAATCACGCAGCCGGTAGAGTAAGTTTGAGCAAGTGGTGTTTCCGCTTTTGCGAGCGGAATCAAAAGCCGAAGGTTGAAAGTACTCCTCCCACACTTTTTCTAACAGTTTGGTGCAGTCATCTGCCTTTGATAGATCAATTGGGCCAATGAGACGCAAAACGTCCCTACTAGTCAAGATACATGTCAAACATATGTCTTCTAACGTATCAAGAGAAATCAGTCAACTCACGTCAATACAACAACAAGACTTGCATCATGCATTTTCTTCGTCATCATCATCAGCGTATTGAAATCCTGCTGAGAAGGATGCTTCGAAGATCCACCGAGCGCCTCGGCCGTTCTCCAAGCACCATTGTCTTGACCGTGATTGGAATTGCCCCAGTGCAGTGAGCACAACGCCTTGCACATGTTCCATGTGGCATGCGCCGGACCAAACACAGTAAGGAGCCACCGGAGAGAATCAGGCCGACTACCACATGGAAAACGTTTTCGACGTAAGCTTTCTACCAGTTCATTTGACCCAACGTCTCCCTCAGTAACAAATAGGCCTTCAGCAAAAGAATCGGGATCAACACCGATCTGCGTTAGGACTTGCTCTAATACTCGGGCGACACCTTCAGCCGAAGAATCAGGTGCGTCCATCAATCGTAAGAAAAAGATATTAGGCTGGTACATCGGGATCGGATCAATAGGTGTAGGCTTAGTATTTAATGTGGGTAATTTGAAAGTTTCACTACTAGGAAGGTGTTCAACATAGGTTTGTAAGGTAGTGGCGAGTTGTGCTAAGATCACACTCTTCCAATGCAACATTTGTTGAGGTGTCGGGATGAAATTGGAAACATCTACCGGTCGCCCTTCCGCCTCCGACATGGCTTTCTCGAAAGCCTTCAAATCGACTTCCTCAGGCAGCACTCCCTCCAAAAGGCCAGGCGGAGGCACATGGATGAAACCCCAGGTTCCGTGAAAAGTCTGGCTTGCTGTCTCCAATCGATGATTTTGTACTCTCAGATGGATATCCAGATTATCAAAGCAGAGAAACGGCCTGATGATGTGATTCTTCTTAAACACTTGTATCAAACGATTCGCTTGTAGAATGCGTAAACGGTCCATTAGGCGAAGCGAGCTGTCTCGTGACACAGTGAGAGCCAAAGAATGTAAGAACTCATTCACACGGCAGCTGACACCCCCTGCAACAAAGGTGAGTCCGTTTAGAACCTGGTAAGCATTGCTTCTTCGATTGCAGGTGAACGCTAGCATTGAACAGATCGCCATGGGAAGCTGAGGAATAACAAATGAAAGCACACTCAGCAAGTGATTGTAAATAGGGGAATATAATAAATAAAGTAGTCTAACCGTCTTCAACTGATGCTCTCGCATACCAGCAGCCCGCTTGGAAACATAGACTAAGTTGTCTAGTGAAAGCATTTCAGACTCCACGGTGGTATCATCTTCCATATCAACACTAGACATGTCATTTGTAGCCTCGTCTAAATCCCGCTCCAACCCAAATGACAAGCGAAGTTTTCGAGACAGAAGCTTGTATAAGAAACCCATAGAGTCCCTCACTAGGGCCTGCCTGGTTTCTTCAGCGTGCTCGCTAAAAAAATCCTCCGTGATGGAATTGCAGCTCACGTAAGAGCCCAAAGGGTAGGCTCCTGTTGGAATGGATTCTCCATTCACAATTTTGGAGGCCTGAACAGAGTGAGTTTCCATTAGATTGCAATTGAGTAAACTGTATATAGCGAACATATACATCAAACACACCTCATCTAATATGAATCCTCGCCAAGCAGCTGCACCCTCGGGACTCCCCATGAGCAGGGTTCGGAACCCTTTTAGTATATCCACCGTCTGTTCCCATCCTACACCCGCTCTGATCAATCGTCGACGATAGATCAAACCAGGATCATCAATGGTTACAAATCCATGAATGAATTTTTTGGGGCTAAGCCCTGTAGCGGAGATATGTTCGCAGATAGCATTGATATGAGCTGGAAGACCTCTAGCAGGGTTTGTAAGTGGAGATATATTAGAATTCATTTTAATATGAACTAAAAATGTGATCACTTGGGAATAAAAGATCGTTTGTTGAGGTCTGATGATAAAGATGTTGAGGAAATTCTACGGAAAATGTGAATCAATGACTATCTCGGATAGATGAACTCCTCCCAAGCAAGGCCTTATACGATCAAAAACAATACAAAATAGTCCCCTGCAACCACTTTCCGCCTGGAATCGGGACTTCCTTCGTATGACACTTGCCAATGGTATTCATTTGTTTCATATACATTGTTAAAAGCAACAATCAAAACCGATGGTGTGGATGCCATTCGGAATACCTGGGCTAAAGCGCGTCCGACAAAACAGCATTTTGACCTAAAATGTCTTTCCGGCGCTCGGGATTTCCTTCACGCGTTGGAACAAATAGATAAAACTCGCAGCAGAGTCAGCTAGTACATACAGGCCCCTAGGGGCATAACCGCTCTACGGAATGACTATCATGGCACCGCCGGAAGAAGACGTTCCAGGTGAGCTTTTTGGGATTTGAAACTTGGAGCATATGTAACTGGCAAGCGCCTTGTTCCTTTTATTTTGCATCAAGAACAGTTTATAAAAAAAGAAAGATGCTAGAGCAATGTATCGATTTTTTCTCGAATACAGCTCACTTCTCAGGCGAAGTTTCGTGTTTTAGCGGTAAGTCCCTCTCTCGACTACTCGTTCGTCCGAGAGGGACTTAGTTAAGTTTGAAGTCTACATTGCTTTGCGATCTTTGTCAACCCAAGAAGATGGATGAGGATGTCACTTGACAAGCTCATCAAACATTTCCTCCTCGCATTTTCTCACTGGCATCCCATGCCGGCCTAGGCGGTGGAGAGACTGATCAGTGGTGTTGTGCCCTGCCCCCGGGATACTCATAGTGCGACCCGAGCACCCGGAGTGACAAAAGTTGTGTTTCATTGGGAAGTGAAAAATGATGGGCATTCCTCTGCCGATCATTTCATGCAAAATTGAGTATGTGGGAACAATTGTCAAGTAACAACGGGTAAGATATACAAAGCAAAATATAAATCGGTTATTCTGATATGATATCAAACAGATTGATTACTTGATCATTCATGATGATTGAAATTCTCAGAAAATCATTACCAGACATCCAGTGATCATGAGTGATGCTTTAAGATAAGTACATATATCTCTCACATCATCTTTGGCTGGAGTCTGAGATTGAAATATACGGTCTCTTGAAACGTTTAATCTGAATCACTTATATCTATGTTTCAACATCACCAATATTGTTACCTTATCAGCTATTATTTCACTCTATCATCCCTGAGGCTGCAGAGCTGAGATAAACTTTGAGGGGAAATCTGAATGACGGAAGTGGTAAAGTAGTGGCAAGTAATATGAAAACCATGGACATTCCATCTGTCTAGGGTTGCATTTTGATTTAAATGTCCTGACAAAGTTATATCATTCATAGTGAACTGTTCCAAAAAGCTGAGCTCTCCCTTGCAATGAGGCACTTATGCTGGCATACTTGAACATGATTTGAGATCAGTTATTTTAACTTGATTTACTTTAGAGTAAGCAGACCAAGTCAAGACAACCAATCTCAGATCATGCTCAAGTATGGCAGCCTGTAGGATAAGCCTTCGAGATACGTACACACCTTTTGAAGGTGGCATGACTCGCCATTGTTTTCAGGATTGGAAATCAAAGTATGAAAGATCGTGACAAAGATGAAGCATTCGATTAACCCAGGATGAAGCGAGCACCAAGCCTGTGTATACTCACCAACACCTTGTCAAAGGATGCTGGTAAGGAAAGATTCTGACGATACTTCAAGCTGAAAGAAAGGACATAGTGGACTGGAAGAGATTGGAGATACAATCTCAGGTGTATCAGCCACACACAGTCCCAATGCAAGTGCCAGAAACAGCTAAAAAGAATTTATTTTTCTTTCAAATCCTAATAGCTATACTTTTACGATCTAACATAATTGTCAATTCCCACATCACAATTCACCAGTAACTTTATCAATCACTTGTTCTGCTGTTTCCTTAACCGTCTCAGCAGTTTTCTGTGCTCCTTCTTTAACACTACCAGCAGCTTCCGAAAGTTTTTCTTTAGCAGAAATGAACACTTGAAGAATGTTTTGTTTAATTTGAAGTTCTTCAAACTAAAGAAAAAAATGATAACAAAAGATGTGTAAGTTAATGAATGAAGAATGTAGTAGAGGAAGCGAAAATGATACGTACTTTAGCACTAGACATAGTGGCACTCTTCTCTGCTAATTTCTTGAGTCGAGAAGCTTCCTTGGTCACCCAACTTTCATCAGTACCAATCTTGTTCATCACTTTAACATAATAATTAGCCAAGGTCTCATTGGCACTTGAAGCCAGTTCGGTAGCTTTTTTAATCAAAGAGGCGTGACCGGAAACAGGAAGTCCAACAAATTCGGCAACCAAGGTATCTAAACCGGCTACTCGACCGGCTTCTGGAAGAAGAAGACCACCAGATGCTCGATGTGTTCCACCTGTTGATGATTTGTGAACTTGTCAGTCAGAAATCAAATAATTTCATAGCGAGAAAGTAGATCAAACTTCAAGGTGCTATGCGTACAGTTTTCATTGAGGAACTTGATGAAAGCCTCAGGTGTACGTGGGCCTTGATAGTCTAGAGCAGCTTTACTGGTGTCTTTGTATAAAAACTTAATAGTAGGAAATCTAGAGTCCATAAACAAATCTTAGCTCATATGAAATTCAAATCCATAAGTAGAGAAAGACGCTCACCCAGATACGGAGAATCGGGTAGCCAAGTCTCTATTGCTAGCTTCATTGGCATCAAGATGACCAACTCGACATTTTGAATCAGATGCAAACGTTTGTGCAATCTGGATGAATAGAAGAAGTTTTTAGCGGGATTATCTTCTTGAAGCTGTATCACTCAAGACTCACTGTGTCCCATGTGCCTAACAGACTCTTGCAATCTGAAAATAGATGAAAATTAATCAGAGTGAATATTGGTAACGAGTTTCAGCATGCTCGCTGTCGACGAGAGCAATTACTCACGACCACACCACGGGGCAAAGAATCTATCAGTAAAACGAGTCTATCAGTTCAATGTTTAACTCTGTGAAACCAAAAGAATGAATGAACTTACGCCACCAATGTTCCTGGAAAACCCCCAAGAGTTTGTCATCAACAAAGCGCAAGACTCAAAGGCAATCAGTTTACTTCAAAGACCAAGTGAAATCACAAGAAAGGGAAAGGAAAAGTGACTTACCAACTTCAGGATTTTGAATTTGAGCATCAAAATTAGCATGATCGAGTTTAACAGAATGTTTAGCATCTTCTAATCCAGCCATGACTGCATTCAACCCAATAAGGGTGAAAAAGAAGCTTCCCAGAAGCATTGAGTTTGATTGTTTCATAATGATGTCTTGATTGAGTTTCGGTTGGATTGAGTTGGATGATGGTGATGAGTTGTGAAGTGATGTGGAACTTGATCAACCAAGTGTGGCAAGATTTATACATCTCCACGGCTTGCCAATCCTGTCTAAACCCATACCTACGTCGTTACAAAGCGTAATTAAGCCATAGTCACATGTTCGTCATCACAACATCCATGAATCATGATCCATAATCTAACACAGCAATTCAACACACAAAATGAAACTCTGGGGACAAAACCTTTCATCAGATAATTTAGGAAAGGATCCTACCCGTCCGATGCATGACGCAAACAAAGTGCTCTGACTTTTTTGGTCAAGTGAAATACTCAAATGAAAGCTAGGCCTGGATACTAGCATACAAGTCACTGTCCCATCAGGTCTAGATCTGCTTCAAGGGTACATCTGAGGCACTGTGATAAGTTTCATTGGGGTTTGAAATAGCGCAAAAAGGTGACTCTCATGTCTGTGTGTCGATCTCCTCAATGTGAGCCCATGGGTCTACGATGTACATATCTAATGGCGGATGAATGCCCTTGATTTTTCAAAGATGACGTTAAGTATTACATGTGATACACCTTTCCATCCAAACTCATGTAACAATCCAGCCGATCGCGAAACAAGGATGCCCAGCTATGAGATCTACGGTTGATCATAGAAGCAATCATATTGTGTATAGAGCCAGCGGACATCAAGCACTTCAAATGAATCACAGCAGACAAGCAGACATACATATATCTCTATGACCTGGAAAATCATGAGATAAATAGCCATCACTACATATCATTTCTTTTCTAAAGGTGGCGGGTAGAAATGTTCGCATTTTCAATTTCGGTATAATCTGATATGATAGATCAATAGGAGCTTACTCAAGTTCTGTAGCCACTTTGGCGCCTTCGCACCACTTTTCAAAACGTCATCTAACTTTTGTTTTCCTTTGTCAATCGCATTAGTAACTGCACTTGGATTGCTTGGGTTATCCTGGTCCAAGTTAGGAGGTGGTGGTAGGTCTTGAGCTTGTGCTAACAAATCTGGAAGTAATGGTGGTACACGCTGGGTTTCTATGAAGACATTGTTCACAAGAGCATCGTCAGCTTTCCATGGGTTGTGTGATGAGTATGTTTAGGATCACGGACGATTCAAGGCCTCATCGGTGAACTTGATATAAAATAGGGAAGACGGCGTGAGTTGAAGTTCAAGTAAAGTCTTCGTGCTTATTGCAGGATCTGTCAGCTTGAATTCTCGTCGAGGTGGTGTTTGATCTAAAAGACTCAAATCGACAACAAGGGTCAGGATTATAAAGTACACGAGGATCCAGAAGTCACAGAAAATAGAATTCTGCTCACATAATATAAACGCCTGCGAACGCACATCTTCCACCAAAGAGGCTTTGACAAAGGCATAAACTACTCTCATGGTGGATTGACTTTGAAAAGCGCCTTCCAACATTGTACGATTAGAAAACCTTATACGAATCCGAGTCTGATCAAACCAATCAGTTTTAAATTCAAGCTGACTGATCTGAAAGATTTAAGAGCTTACGATTGGGAACCTAGAATATCGTTCATTTTTCTTTGCCATTGCTTCACGATCTCTTAGAGATTTGGTTAACATTGGAGCATCTGTAAGTCTCTCTCGTGTTGCAACTTGACCTGAAAATGCTCGTTGAGCCTCTGCAGCAGTCGGAACGAAATATTGATCTGATAATTCTAAATAAATTATTCAGAAAAAAAAAATCATGTTAGAGTTTGATATGTTTTTCAAAAGTGGATTTGAATAGAAATTGCTTGGCTACCCGGTCGGGGAGGGGGCCGCGCATCTGCCGAAGGCCGCCATACCTTGATGTCGGTAGCTTGGTGTTTTGGAGTGTCATTGGCAGTGGGCTGAGATGATGGTGGATTGACGTTTGGTGATGAAGAAGAAGTAGTATTTGAGGTAGGTTCCATTTTTACTTCCTCTACCTGAGGCTGTTCAGAGGGTATTTCAGATGATTGTAAGGTTTGGGCTGAATGGCCATCCATTGTTCGTCGTTGAAGGTGTCGAGGTGAGTTATGTGGTAGGTAATCAAAGCGACGGATCGACGAGAGCAAAGGTGAACCGTGAAAGTCGAGACGAAACATCCCCTGGGTGGGCCGCCGCTCACTGGCCCGCACACCATGTCGGACAGCCGAGTGAGGGCATGTCCCAGCTTAACACAAGCCCCGCCAACCGCAGAGACGTCCCGCAGGCTCAAGAGGATGTCTGCACTTTGAGGAACTTAAGGCATGTCCAAAAGCCTATGTTCTGTGCCTGCATGGTCACCTGGTTTTTTAGTGCATAATGGCTTTATTTATGGTTCTCAAACCTATGCAAAAATTTGTGCAAGTTTCGAGCAACTTCTGTGCAAGACATGAATAGAACTTGCACGGAACTTGCACGGAACTTGCACGTCGGTCTCGCACGGTTTTTGTACCAGTTGGAACAAAATAGCTGGGGTCGTCAAAAAATTTAATGCGCAAGATTGGTGCAAGAAATCTTGCACGGATCTTGCACGTCGGTCTTGCACATTTCTTGCACAGGTTTGAGAACCATAATTGCATGGAAACACTATCTAAACACATTAAATTCAAGGAGACTAGTATACCTAGGGAAATTTGGTGATCTAGTTGGAGCAAAAGATTTTGTTGACTTTTGATTATGAGAAGGTGCTTTTGTTGTGTTTTTTTAAAGAAAAAAATTCTCACACCTTTGTGCAAGCACACCCAATTAATTAAGGATTTTGGTGGATTTTGTTTTAAAACTTCATTCATTCCACACCTTTGTGCAAAACACACCCAATTAAGGCAAGCCAACTGTCCCATCACCAAACTCACAGTGGGATGAGGCAACACCCAGATTGTATGGTTATCCCATATCTCCTAAATGGGTCAATGAAATAAATTTGCCATACATACCACATCAGGATCACTAGCAAAAGTCTGGTAAGCCTCAGATCCCAGTGCAGATGCCAGTGCACACAAACAAAGAATATGGTTCATTTGCATGGTGGTTTATGTCCTTCCAATCTCAAAATGCACATCTCATTCAAAAAGATTTTTGACTTAACAAATCATCACCTTCCCCATGACTTTCTGTTACTCATGTGTGAATTGGGTGGAAGTGAGTGCCCAGTGGCAGTGTAGTTTGGAATAGGATATATCTCCATGAAAGACCTGTGAATGTGATGCATCACAAGGCCTTCATGTATGTAGCTTAAAATACATGACCACTCAAGACATCCTCATCCAAAGATGACGCCATTTGGATTAAATTTTTGATATACCATATCAAGAAAAGTGTGATAGATTTAGAGAGCATATCACTTGAGCACACCCAGTTGATTTTTTGGTGGTAACTTTTTGTATCAAGTTTACATTTCTTGCCAGCTCTTGACACAACCTGATCTGGCTTGAACATAGCTTTTGGCCAATGGTCGTTAACTTCATCATGGAAATAGGTATCAAATGATACACATGACACATTGAAGATCTCACAATGATGATTTGATTGTTTTTTTTCTAAATGAGGTTGATCTGGTAGCAAAGCAAAAACTTCAAAGTTAAGCATCATTTGGATGTCAGTTCCTTTTTGATAAGTAGATTCTTTTATTTCAGAAGTCTTGATTTGAGACCTGAGTGCTAGTCTCACATCTGGGTCTCTTGCATCTGGGACCTCACATGTAGATCAAAAGAGATGTGTGAAAACTAAGTTTCAAACCTACATAACACTTTTGTACAATCAAATATGTGGTGGGTAGCCTGGTCAGGCCCCAGGAGTTGGAAATTGGCAAGGCTCTTCAGATTCTTGGTCTGGTCATGAAGGCTTTGGATTCTCTGGGTCACCCAAACCCACTTTTGAGATCAAACAGTTTGTCAATAAATGTCACATTGGTATTTTGTGCCAAAATCTGTAACAAGATTGAACAGTACACAATCTCTGATTTCCATCAACAGAACCCAGTCACACAGGATTTAATGGCTATTTGATGGGGGCAATGTCTGCTTTCATCTATTGCCAACTTGTCCTTGGCTCTGTGCCCATTTCACATGGTTTAACTCATGTGTATATGAATGAAAATGTGCAAATCTTTTAGTATTCAGAATGGAATCATAAACAAAAGGAAAGGATGCAGGTGTGTGTAGTAATTTGTTAGTGTTGTTCCAATTAACCTTAATTCCTTCTTCACAGAGGTTGTTGCCCATTGTTTTTCTAGCTTTTGAGTGCTTTCTACAATAAAGCAAGCAGTGGTTGGTATTTTTCATCAGTTGGCATGTGTTGCAGCAAGCAGATTATATTTTTTAAAAAAAGGTGGGCATTGAGGGGGCTATGGCCTGCTCTTAGTTGTAAGATCACATCCACAGTGCCTTTATTTAAGGTTTTGAGTGCTTGCGCTATTAGTTTGGTTTTTGTCTTGTAGGACTTTCTATCAGGTTTGAAGATTAAGTTTCTGATGTCGAATTTCTCCTTCATTTTCCTTTTCAGATGTCCTAGGCTAGCAGGTAAGCAGATGTCCTTGTCTTGATTTGATGTGGCTTCTCCTGCTGACTTGTAAGCGTTTTTGTTCAGTGCAATGCCATTCTGGTCAGGCCTCCAGTGTCATTGTACATCAGTATATTTTGGAAGCCATATTAGTTAAGATCAAATTTTGATAATTGAATGTTGAACTGAAGATACTCTTGGGGTGTTGTGTGTCAGTTGTAGGACAACTTGATTGTTGCTCAAAATGGCTGAATTTGAGGGTGTTGGGTGCTTCCTCCTTAAGAGATTGTTCACTAGTTTGGTTGCCAATAATATGCCTAGTGATTCTGTCTCATGATTGCAATAGGTGTTGTTTTTGGCATATATAATCTTGCTAATGGTTTTGGTTACAACAACTGCCCCTCCTCCTTCTTGATTTACCGGGCCATCTGTAAAAACAATGATTGAGTTACTGCCTTCTTCTGCTATTTGTCTTGAAAGTTGCTTGATAATTTGTTCTTTTGTTTTTTGAAAGTTGATAAGTTCTCCTATGGTTTTGCTGCAAGGTGCTAGTGAGTGGACATAAACAGTCTCAGCATTTTCAGACAAGGTGGTTTGAAGGTGTTGATGCTCTAATAAGTCCTGGACTTGAATTTTGTGGGTTTTGGGGGCTCATGCTGGTTCATGTTCAATGGAGACTTGTGTCAGATGTGTATCTGGAGCTGTGATCTGTGACACTTGTATTCTGACCATTTGAAAGGGAGCATGTACACATTGTGTTCCATCAGGCTGTTTGAGGATCCTTTGAAAGCACACACAATGATTCTGTTAGCTGTGTTCTGTACAGTCTAAATCATATTGTTGGCTTTTTTTAACATACTTTTGGGTTAGCCAATTATTCTGGAGAGGATGATTGTTATAATCAGTTTCTTGGCTTGTTTAGGAGATAACCCTGATTAACATGTTTTAATTCTCCATAATTGCTGGAGCAACACCGGAATTGCTCCACAACGCTATGGATTCTGACCCATTTTGGTTGCGGAGCGGAGCCTCCGCTATGAGCGGGACCACTATCATATCACTATTTATGAAAACAAAACTCCCACCAGGTTGCAGAGCAATGAAATCGCTATTTTGGCGCTATATAGCGCGCTATAAGTCCAACGCTATACAGCACCCTAGAAGGTAAGAGAAAACATGTTTGACATGTTTATAGCGGATCTATGTGTACCTGGTCTCTCCATATCTTCGAAAGCCTATCATTCCTAATGATCAAGATTGACTGGTTGGTCCACAAACTTACTACATTGAGCACAACACGAATAGAACAATCATCAACAGCAACAAGATGTTTGTCTCTCGACAAATACTCTCTTCCTGGAGATCTTTCTACTTCAATCAACACAAATTCAGATGTTATCAATGTCAATGCTGAAAAGCGTGGAACCAACTCAATCCACATAGAGACATATAGTAGCATCAAACTCGGAAAGTCAGGTGTATCGGGGTTCATAGACCGGCAATCTTCAAGGGGTAGCAAATGTGAGATTGTATGATGACTCAAATTCAAAAAGTCTTAGATAAACAAATTCAAAATGATACACATCAAGGTTGAAAGAAGATTTATTTTTCAAATCTCCTTGACAAAGTAGCTTACATCAACTGAATCCTTCTACATCTTTACTTGATTTGTTGAGGTTTGTTGGGGTTTGATTTGGTTGTGATCAAGGTTTATTACAATGATGTGGACCAGACAGTGGTGAATGTCATCTTATCACGATGATCAAGGACTTGAAGAGGTGTTGAAAAACATGATCAATGGAAAAAAAAGGGTCGATTGGAAGAGTTCACACACTGTAGGTGTTTCCTCTGCTATATAGTGGAGGACAACTGGCCCGGTGGGTTGCGGAGAAAAAGCTCCGCTATGAGTTTTCTGGGTCCTTGTGTGCGGAGAGCAGGCCACGCTATATATATTGGTGTATATAGCGGAGTCCCTGACCGCTCTGCAACCGCTATATGGAGCGGAGCGATTCCGGTATTGGCTGGAGAGTAAAGTTTGCTGCATTCTTTGTGGGTTGAAGATAATTATTGTGGGATAGTTCTGGATCTAACCATAGTCCTAGCCACTTAAATTTGGTCTTGGGCTTTAGTGTAGTACCACCAAAGTTGAGTGCTGCAATTTTTCTGTCTCTCATGTTAGAGAAATGCATAAGTTTGAATTTATTTTTGTCCAAGATCACCCTGCATTGACTGACCCAAACCACCAAACTATTGGCCTGTTCTTGGAGATTTTATAGGCTTGATGTTATTGATTTGGATGTAACTAGGTGGACAACATGATCATCAATGAAACCTAGGGAGAGGTTTGTACCTAATCATTCTATTAAGTAAAGGACTACCACTATAGGCAATCCTTGGGGGAGTCCATAAATGATGTCAAAAGATTCAGATATGTAGTCCTGGAGTTGTAGGTTGGTTGATTTATCTAGTAGGAATCCTTGTATCAGGGAAATAATGTGGTTGGAAAGTTTTTGTAAAATAACATATGACCAATCTTGATGGGCTGAGGGATAAGCAGATTTTACCTTGAGAAAGAGTGTCAAAACAAAAAATTTAAGTCTGCACTTTTTTTTGATCCAGGAGGTTAAGATTAGTAGAGCTTTATCTGTACTATTAGGGTATACAAAGTTTGTTCTGGAAATTTCCAGACACCTTTTCCCAGAACACCAGAAGCCTCCTGCTCTTTTGGAAAACATGCAGTGTTGGTTATTCTAAGCTTCAGAATACCATAAGTTCAGAACACACCAAAAAAAAATGTCTGGTGTTCTGGGGAAACACTTCTGGAAATTTCCAGAACCATATTTGTATACCCTATATGTAGTTTTCCGCCTCACATGTGGTTAGAAGACAACACTGCTGGATACTCTGCCCAGAAGGCAATTCTGTTTGTAATGATTTTCTCAAGGATCTTGCTGATGTAGCTAAGGAGGGCAATGGGCCTATAAGCATTGGGAGTAGAGTAGTTGTCCTTACTGGCCTTCCTGATGACAATAGTAACAGCATGTTCCAGCCTTCTGGGAACGGGCCAAGTGGGATGCAAACATTGAACAGGTTACATAATGAACTCTCAATAGCTGGGAGCACAAGAATAATAAGCAGCTTGTCGGACAAGTTGTTGCCTCCTTTTGTTTTCTTATTTGCAGTGCACAGGACTTCACCTCTAACTTCATCAGGTTTCAGCTTTGGGTGTGATATGGAAGCGGTTTTGAGATGGTTGATACCAAAGATGGGTGGGATGTTCAACATATCTGCCTGAGTATGTGCAAGATGCCATAGAAAATCAGGTTGGCTTGTTACTTTTTTCTGTTTGCACTCAGCCAGCTTGTTTGAGAAGAGGAGTGATTTTGTTTGATGTTGATGGCTTGATTTACCTGAAGGATTTGAAAGTGTCATGCATGGAGCTGGTGGCTAGAAACTGCTTCCAGTGGTTGGTTTTGATCCGTGATTTGGTGTCTTAGCTAACTTTGCCACTCTGTGTGACATGTATGGGCTTCAGGTAGGTTGGATTTGATTGCAATCTTCTGTCCTGGTTGTGTCTTGATAATCAGGTTAAGTATTTCTACATCCCACCAGATATTATACTTCCTTTGGTTTGTGTGAACTGTTTTACCCTGCTCTTGTGCAGACTCAAGGATGATTTGGGTTAGCATTGTTATGCCCAGGTTAGTTGTTTATGTTGCAGAGTATATTTGTGGAAGGCAATGTAATTCAGCCTGGTTTCCATTATGAAAGACTTGAAACTTTATGTTGGTGAGTTTCAGTGAGATATGTGAGGCTCTTGGGGAATGATGTTGAGATGAACAATCATAGATATTGGATCTGATGCTAAATTAGCTTCTAGAACTTGCAGGTGATCACTTTCTAGGTTCCAACTGGTCCAGATAAGATCTATAGCAGTAGGGTTTGTGCCTGTGGAGTATCTGATTGGTATGCCTTTTTGGAAGTAAGTTCAAATCCAGAAGAATTGTACAGTTCAATCAGATTTTTTGCTTGAACATCATTTCTATGATAGGTTGGCGGGTTCCACATGTGATTATGCAAAGTGGAGTTGGTGGTGAACCCAGCTCAAGGAACAAGCACTAAACCCATCCATAGCAATTCAAAAGCTGCCAAGAGCCAGCTATCAGTAATATCCCTGGTCTTATGCGCTGGAAGTGGCATCCGGGTACAGAAGGAGACAAAATTTTACACTTGTTGTGAAATGTTGTCTTGGGCTCATCAGTAAGATACAGAGAAGAAAACCCTTTGGAGCAAGAAAATTTCTCTCATGTTTTTCTAATCTTGGTTCTTTCACTTTGTATGCCCAACTCTCTATTGGATTCCACTTATGGTGAAGACACTCACAGAGATGACATCGGAAAAACTTGAAGGGGTCAACAGGTGAGGGGCAACAGGTACAAAGGGACGGATGCCTCCAAAGTTTTGCATCAGTACATAATACATCAATTTAACAGTTTCTGTGCCGAGTGAGCGAGGGGTGAACTCTGAAGCCGACTGGTGCACGATCCACACCTCAACTACATGGGACTATGGTGGAAGTTAGTGAGAATCAGTGTGATCGGTTTCGGGTGTAATAAATGTGATCACTCGAAAGGCGACGCAATGATGAGCTGCCAGGAGCTGCCAGTGCGATTCAGTGAACGCATCACCAACCCTGACATAAGAAGTGGAGGAAATCCACCGAGAAATCGTTAGGCGTGCTCGGAATCAATAAAAGTTCCTCGCTTCTTCTATACATACCTTACATACATACATAGGTACTTGCATGAATCATGATTCAATCCAATGCCTCAGCATGCGAGAGATTCGCACAGATTTCTCTTGGGCTATCGAACAAATTCGATCTAGGCCGTCAGCGCCGAGCGGATGAATATGTACATACATACGTTAGCAAGGTCGCAGAAGGTCACCTTGTGTCGAGACTTCATTGATACTTACATACAATCTTGATCGGCGGGAGATCTCTTCAACAAATTTGAGTGGCAAAATAATTTTCTGACATCCGTTTTGGCCCAGAAAATGGCCCGATGCGAGAGTCGCTTCCTGCCAAGAAAGAGACAATCATGACGTGTACTAGACTTCGTAATACCAACATGACTTCTGTCAACATTCACAGAGGTTCACAGAGGGGTTCACAGAATGACAGATACCAAAAGTTGCCGGGATCTGTCGATTGTCTTACATTTCAAGAGCGACAGACCAACAGAACCACAGATCCCACCAAAATTGTGGTTCTCTTGTTCTGTGAAATTTGACAGAAGTCATATTTGTAGATGTAATTGTATCACGGTTCATCACATGACAATAAGATTGCTTGAACGGGATTTTATGAGCTTGCTACTAGCCTACCACTCGACGTCTTGACACAATTTCAATTATGTATTCGTGTCACTTTTTACTCACGCTATCTGTGCTCGATGCGTTGTGTCTGCTTTCAGCACAGTTGCAACTTCGTTTCTCATGGTGTGCCCCATTTCTGTCTCTGATCTCCTTGACATGTCCTTTTTGGTTGTTGAATCCGTGAATCATCAGAAATTCCTCAAAGACTCTCCCATGCCTTAGGCTTGTGCGTGACTTAGTACAGCTTAACCTTATTACTCACTTGTTCACTCCTCAATACGCTTCCGTATTGGAAGGTGTTGAGGTCGAAGGGCTGGCTCTTCATATCTTATAAGTATATGAACCAGCCTCGGATTGCCTGGAATGGTCCCTCCACAAACACAATATCCAACTATCCTTCTGCATACAGCCCTATATTGTCTTAACCCATCATCTCTTACTCTTAATCTTTGACTTTCATCATCTTATCGTCTATACTACTGTCTTGTTTATGCTAGCCATCCTAGCTGTTTCATCTGCATAACTATATTTTTACCGTGGTCACATTAATATACCATCCTACTAGCGAAATGAAGCGAGGCCGAAAGCAAGATGATACTCTACCGCCTTCTCGTAGCCGAGAAATCCAGAGGGCTTTCCGACAGAGGAGGTCTGATTACATCCAAGGTTAGATCTGCTCTTATTGCTTCACTTTCGTGTTGTGCAAGAGTTGAGTGTGACAACGTTTTCGTGAAGATGGTACTGACACGTGTCGCTTTGCTTAGGTTTGGAAAAGCGCGTCGAGGAATTAGAGATGGAAGTTGATCAAGTCCTTAGGCAGCTCGGTGAACCTGCTCGATACGCTACGCTTGGGTCCTCTATGCATGAAACGCCTGTTAACCGCAAGAAATCTAAATGCAAATCTAAGCAAGCTCTCCCCAATTTCATGGATTTACAGCCTTCTCCGGCAATGATGAGCAAAGTGCATTCTGCTGTGATCGAGCATGGTGGACCTCTGGTAACGTCTCGACCATCCACCTTGTCGGGCCGCCAAATCTTGTCCAACTTTTTCGTAGACGGGTCGTATTCTATGCATGACTATGAACTACATGCCAACCAATCTCATTCCCGTAATGCATCAGACACCTACTCCACTGATACCAAACCTGATATCGTTGAGGAAACGTGTCAAGATTTTGAAAGGTCACACTCTATGTCTCCCCTACCCTCTACGCGGATCTTGAGTGGAAGATGGGAGAGCAATTCTCAAATCACACCTTCAACACATTCAGGTCGCTCTTCACCTTTCGGAGCTGTATCTTCTCTCCAGCAACCATCTGCGATGCATCCGGATCAACTAGCTAGCTCACATGGCAGCGTGACGTATCCAGGCCTCCAAGCGACTCTTTCGCAACATAAACCATCGTTTGTCATCTCTAGCGGGTTAGGCCTCACTCGGAACATATCCACTCATTCGACGCAGACTTCGCGATCTGACTCATCTCCGCGTGCCCCCATGCATGAAGCGAGGTACGATTACTACAAATCCCCGTCCGACATCGAAACGTCACCATGCTACTACTCCAGCGAGGGTTTGCCTTTTCCGACCTACCCACCGTACACCTTTCCTTCACCAAACGATCAGTCTTGCCATGTTTCTCCGTACAAAAGCGCACAGGGATCACCGTTTAATTGCTCATCCGGTGTTATGCTGCAATCTGCCACTTCCGATTGCCATTTAAATCCAAGTGGGTATTTCGAGGATGATGAAAGTCAACTACATCCCTCTGAGTTCGTTTATCAGCCAGGAAGATTACAGCCAGCGTTTAGTCTCCTGAAACCATCTAACGACCTTGCGAGTGTTTCCATGAGGTCTGGCAACGACTTATCTCAGGAGCATCCAATCTCCAACGAAGGTTCAAGCGAATCGCGTAAGTCTTTTGTCTCACTTCTTAAAACTTGAATTTTTACTCATGAACATGAATAGTCAGTAGCGTGACATCTTTGAACGAGTCAGGCCAGCCGGGTGGGGGAGATCAGCTTGATTATGATCTTTGCTCGCTGGGTAATGGACTTGAACTCTCCCCACGCATTCCTAACCACTAGAAAAACTGTATCCAATCTATAGTCATCGACTTCCTTACTTGTTCTACATCTTTTAGTCTTCATCTACCCTCAGACAGCTCATTGGGGCTTGGAGCCCGGATTAAGTTTGTTTTTGAACATCATACCATCAGTACGCTGATAATGTTGTAGCTATTCTTCCATTTGTAACAATTCTTTCTCGCCTTTCTCTTGATCTTGATTATGAGTCTCTTTCTACCCAAAAAATCGGTCTACACATGTCATCGGATTAGCGTCACTGTCACGTTTACGAATCCCAATTTTCTGATCATGTATATACCTAGCAAATACTGAAGCTTTAATTACCAATTACTAAGAACATTTATTTAATCGCTGAGATGCCATTTCGGTATTTTGCAAGTCTTGCTGTGGGAAGTTTTTGGTATTCAAGTTGTTGGAGAGCATTTGAAGGGTTGCGGACCCTGCGAGCGCCGCTCTCATGCAGTCTGCCTGGACGGTACAAATGTCCCGAGTAGGACTGTACACTTCGTTGTCTCATAAAGGGGTCATTAGTATCCGTCTGCCCCACAGCACCAATTCCGAGCAAAACCAAGCCGCGCCTAGTCAAATCCACTCAAAACCGCACGATGACGCTCCAAATTGTAGCCAAGTTGTATTTATTGAATATTCTTGATGTTGTTTTGTTATACTTTGCTCTTTGCAAATCATTCAAGAGCAACCTTACAAACATGATGGTGAATAAGAGTGGGTGTATTGTTAAGATATACATGATCAAGCTATAAGAAGCAGGAATTGGAGTCAGCAAATATGCGGACTCGTCATCTCAAAGGACATTGCATTATCCTGAAAACGGTCTCTCGTCTTCTTGAGCACAGAAACATGTTAACACATTAGGCCAAGCAGTGATTAGTGTTTTGTTATTTTGAGCTGTTCATTGTTTCATCCAAAAGATCCATAGACATTAGTCTTCTAACTAGTCTTTTCTATCTCTCTTGTCCTCTATGCTAGAATTCTCAAGTCTATCTCTTGGCCTCCAGGGCCGTCTCAAAGAGCATCCACAACCGTGTGGGCGTAAACCGTGTTGTACAGATATTTAGGGCAAAATCCACAGCCAATGCCCTAAATTTGTACATGGCTAAGGTATTTCTCTTCATGCCATTGCAAGCCAAAATAGAAGAAATTTGTTCTCTTCATGCCATAAATTTGTGCTATTTTGGCTTGCTCTCTGATTCTGTACCTTGCCTCCACCATAACATCAATTGATAAAATCAAACCCAGCACAAAACAAATACTTTGATAATCACCAGAGCACTGTAGGGAAGTACAGCTGTGCATTGCCCAAATTATATACCTCAAACACTTCTCTAACTCTTCATGCAAATGATCTGTACAGCACAAATTCAGGGCACAGATGGGGATGCTCCAAGTTTTTATAACACCTAAGTACTGACCAAGAGTCACTACTTGCTTTTTCAAACCATCACTCATTATATGGTAAGATGGAGTATTCAAAATGAATTTCAAAATGATATCTGAATAAGAAATTCCAAGAAAACAAATTCCAAAGACAGGAAATAGTATTTCAAAGTCCAAACTCAAACAAGTCAAAAAAGATAATTTTTAGATCCTTGCTCAATACATTTGATCTCTAAGTTTTTCATAATCAAGATCCCTAAAATCAATCAAAAGTAGGAAAACAAAAATCAGTCAAAGATTCTTTTTTGGAAGTTAATTGTCCAGGATCAAGGAAGAAGATTGGTCTAAGTTAACTTGTTAGTAATAGCATTACCACATTGGGCAAAAGGATTTAATGAGCCAGGACCAATGTGTGACACTTATACACACATGTCACATGCGGGATACAAAGTAGAAGCCGGGCACGTGCCCAGAATTATTTTGGCAGTAAATTTTGATTTTCTGGGCAAAATTCCGGGCCCAGAATTCAAATTTACTGCCAAAAAAAATCTGGGCATGAAGCCGGGCACGTGCCCGGCTTCTACTTTGTAGCCTGTGATAGTTAGGCACTTACTTGTACTTAATATCCTGACACAGAGGAGCTCTTCTCCTCACACTCCAATCTACATAATACTTGTAGAGGACCCCTCACAGAGTACTCAAACCCCACTCTCTGCTTTCAGCCTCAGTCTGCAACATATTTCAGTGTCTTGACCATTGAATCAAACACCAACAAACAAAACAAACAAAACAAATAAAATCAAAACCCAGAACCAACTTGGACATAGTCAAATTATAGAACCTTGCCTTGACACAACACCAAAAACCTTGTAGATTGATTGGAAGAAAACTTCACTTAGATCTATTGGACAGGAAGTCCTCGAGTTTGTGTCTATCTCTTCAAGTGTTTCTAGCAGTTGAGGGTGGTGTACCAATGGAAATTCAGATTTTGGACCAGCAAACATAACACCTACTATGTCACCTTTTGCCCAGTTGCCATGTATGTATGTGACAAGATGGACCAGTGCTTCATGGCTAGACAATTTGGCCACCATAGCGTCCTCTGTACAGCAGCTGGTGTTGTTCAACCTGCTGCAATAAGTGTGTGGTGGGCAGTTTGTCATAGAGTTTGCTTATTGTGTTGAGAAGAGCCATGGGTCTGAAAGAACACAGTGATGTATAGTCTGAATTCCCTGGTTTTGGTATCATCACAGTTTTTGCCTCCTTCAAACAGGTTGGGAAAATGCCTGTGATCATGATGCATCATGATGCATTGAACCAGAGCCAGTACATTGGGTTTGACTTGCACCCACAGCTCTGTCCATACCCAGTTCTGGACTTTATCCTCACCCAGAGCTTTGACAGGAGGTCAATTGTTGATGGCTGCTTGGAGTCTTTCTCTTGTAATTGAGTTCACTAGCTTGGTAATGATGGACTGAGTTGATTTGTTGTCTTTGGTGAGAGGAAAGTCAAGGTTGGGCGGGACCCAGGAATGCACCGGCACGATGGGCTTATGTTAAGTTTGGCTTGTCCGTATCTTGTTGGAACACCAATCAGGACACGAAGTGCGAGGACCTATGAGGACGAGGAAGTCTGAAAGCACATGAAGCGCCGTGGAAAAGGCACTTTGACCATAAGTCAAAGTTTCTCGGCAACAAACCGTGTCAAACGACATGCATTGAGATAACCAACAAAACAGTGGCTAGTAGATCACAAAGAAGGCTTAGTTTATAAAAACGAAAGCACAGAGCGAAGTGTACCTTCAGCATGAAACCCATCAGATCGTGATGCCAACAAACACGTTCGAATGAAGGCGGATACAGTGGGTGATTAAGTGAGGCGGATTAGTCTTGCAACGTTGAAAGCGACAACCTCCTCAAACCGGAGGAGGGAGTGAGCAAGTGATTACTTGGCCACATTTCCCCCACTCGAGCTAAGAAAAGGGTCGGTGTTATGATGCGTGATTTCTGGGGAGCAAAGCCGCCGCGGCTGTGGAGGAACGGTTTTGTAGTCGGAGGAAGTTGATGCCTACCTGTGGGTGAGGTATTTGACATAAGCATACTTTTGTGTCTTGAAGCATACGACCTGCCTAAACACATAAATGCGTCATCAATGCGTGTCATACACACATGTTTTGAGCTCACCAATCACTTTACAAGTCCAGAAAAGAGTTTTCAGCAAGAGATCGTCTCGGTTGACACAGGTGTGCCATTTGCCTCGTAGCATATGGTTGGTAAATGCTGCATGCATTCGCCATATATGTTCTGAGGTCAAGAAGACATCCAGGGATTTCTACGGTTTATGCTTTTCTGGATGGATGATGGTGGTCATAGTAGTAAAGTAAGGTCTCAGCGGTGTGTTATTGATATCTTTTGACTTTCAAAAGTTGACTAAGAGTCAGTCCCAAAGCAGTTGAAAGACTGCATTGATAGAATGGGTTGGCTCCATGCAGTAGATGATTGGCTTCCCTTCAGTAGTGGATATATCGAACATGGTGTTGGTAAGAGTGAGCTCAATTCCTACAAGTGACTGTGCCATCAATTTGCGCTCACATATGCTGATACAATACACCTGATATACCTCTCAGCGCGAATGTTTATCTTACTTCGCGGTCATAATGATGAGGCAAAGATCCCTTCATTCAGCAAGGAATCTGAAGGCCACGAGACGGCCGACTCCCGCTATGCCCAACACGGATAAACCTGAAGTCAGGGCCATGCCTGCTGGACCGACCCGAGGAGAATAGCATTCGGAACAGCATTCAGGCCGTCAGCCCAGGAGGAGCATTACACCCTCCATATAACCACACTTCATCGCATCATGGCGCCCACCTCTCAATTGAAAAAACGTGCTACGGAAACGGGAATGGACAACTTAGATGAGTCTTTCGTCAAGGTACATGATTTCAAAAATCGATCAAGGCGAGGATCGGAATATAACTCATCAGCCAACTTATGGCTGTTCTAGATAGGCACTGCTCTTCCAGCTCTCAGTTCCAACAAAGTCGATAAAAATGAATTTGTACCGATATGGCAGCAAGAAGTTAAAGACGAAAAAGGACGTAGAAGATTACATGGTGCATTTACAGGTGGATTTTCTGCTGGATATTTTAACACAGTTGGTTCGAAGGAAGGATGGGTACCAGCCGAGTTTAAAAGTAGTCGTGCAACAAAGAACAAAGCTGATAATGAACCCAAAAGGACTGGAGCTTCAAGACCAGAGGACTTTATGGATGACGAAGATCTGGCTGAACTCGAATCACGCAAAGAGTTGAAAACTAATTCACAGTTTGACTCAGCAATTGGAACATCTTCCGCCTCATCTACGTTCCAAGCACCTCAATACGATCCCTTGACTGGCCAGCTCGATGCGGTTCCTGAATCTGGTTCATTACATCAACTTGTTGGGCCCTCACGTGCCGAAGCTGCTTTATCAGACCTAATCCAACCAAACACCACTAGGATCGGTCACAAGCTTATGCAGAAGATGGGATGGCGTTCTGGGCAAGGCATTGGACCTCGAATCACTTTTGAACGTCAGAGACAATTGGCTTTGAAACTTGGTGTTCAAATCACCTCGACCGACGATGAAGATGACTCAGAACGTAGAAAGCACCTCTTTCCTCCTTTAGATCGTCCCTTGACAGCCTTTCAACCTTGGCCTGGTAATAATGGACTAGGCTACACCAAGGATATGCATTCACTGGAGTTAGATAGGTCCTTCAGTAGAGCTGAGACATCGGCGGCGCCGACTGAAATTGATGGGCAGACGATGCCGAAAGGCGCATCATTTGGTCTAGGTGCTCTCAATGATCTCGAAGATGACGACCGTGATATCTATGACTCGGAAGTAAACCAAATATCTAGTGATCCGAGAGCGCGAAGGCTATTAGTGGTTGACGAACAGGTCACGACACATCGCGGATCAAAATCTCAATCTCGACAATCGCGCCCTCCTCAAAAGCCAATACATCAAGCCCAGACTAACTTTTCGGACGGCACCCGCATACCCAAGGGTTTTCGACTCGTACTATCTGATGCACGGGGCGATAGGACAAGTGATGCTTGGTATCCTGCTCCGAAAGTACCAGAGTCGTGGGAACCGAATCCTGGGAAAGTGCTGAGCAAGAATACGACCGCTGAGCCAGTCCCTAAACCTTCTGGACATGCCTCCAAGTCGTTAACTGCGGGTGACGTGAGCCTTTTATTGCCTACTCAATCCTTATACAGTATTTTTTTCTGACTCGATGTACAGCGTGGTAGACTCTTGGGTGAGAAGCAGCTACCAAAGTCTGTTTTTGACTTCATATCAGCAAAAGATAAATCTCGATTGGAAAATATGAAGCAGCACGTTTTGGCTCAAGCTTCTGGACAATCCGAGTCATCAGGTGTTTCTAGCCACGTTCTCCCAACGCCCGAATCGTCTATCACTATCCCTGACTTACCACCAGCCATCGCTCAAGCTGCCCTGCGTGGCTTTATGCCTTTCTCACATGACTTGTCTAAGCAAAAGCGATATCAAGTGTATTTACAATCTCAGGCCGGCCTTTTATCGGACGGGGTTGTCTTCTCGCCTAAACCGAAGCCGGGAGAAAGCGTCGACCAGATTACCAAGGAACTAGAAGGTTTTGCCAAGAGTGCTATGATGTTTAAGCCAATGAGTGCCGTGATGGCGTCACGATTTACATCTGCTGCCAGTACCATCGCTAGCGGAGAACTTTCCACCCCCCAACCAGGTCTGAGGCAACCCGTTTTCTTAGACCAAGATACGACACCATCTATTGACCCATCAGCCGACGATGCATCGACTTCCAATAAGGTTGAGGAAGAGCTTAGTCAAGCTGCGCAAGCTGTTCGAATGGATATGTTTGGCATGTTAACTCGAACAACCTCAACCTTTTATCCACAGAAGCTACTGTGTAAAAGATTGAACGTCCCTAATCCATATCCGCACGGCGAGGCCATCGAAATCAAACCGAAAGTAGCATCAAATAGCATGAGTGATTTCATGACTGCGCATGGCTTCTTACCTGCCACTATTGAATTAGAAAAGAAGGAATCTCCTAAAGAAGATGAACAGTCAGGCGATTGGGTCACTCGAAAAGTCATCGATGGACCAGCAAAGTCATTGGACCAAGTCGGTTTGGGTGACGATGATACACAAGGCCGCGATATACTTACCACTACCCGCCCTGCTATCGATCTCTTCAAAGCCATATTTGCAGATGAAAGCGAAGACGAAACTGCTGAAGAAGATCAGTCATCATTACCTTTGCAAAACAAGACTTCTCATGACGTAGCTGTATCAGAGCCTCTACTAGAGACGAATCATTCACATCAATCTCTCGATCAGAACAAATCAGTTTCATCTGCCTCTACTATTGTAGCTCCTATCCCATCACACACGCCTAAAGTTGTCGATCCTGACGAGTTACACAAGTTGGCAAGTTTTCGTCCTACCTTCCTACGCAAGGGTGATAAAGACAAAGATGAAGAAACAAGTAGCAAGAAAAAGAATAAAGGCAAAAAACGAAAGGTATTGATGTCATTTGAGGATGATGAAGTTGAGCCTATCAAAGAGGACTCCAAGATCAAAAAGAAAAAACCTAAGCCGAAACAAGACGAGTCAATTGCTTCAAGTAAGAAAATCAGTGATCCTAAAGATAAGCATCGTATGTCAGATTCCCGGAAGACAAGCCTGGCAAGTGGTAAACGGGAAAGACAAGAGGATTTGGATGATGAATGGGTTGAAAAGACTGATATACCAGAGCCTAAAGTTCTGAAGCAGGCTTCTGTCGTCGTTCCGATGTCAGATAAGAAACTAGATACTATAGCTCCTAACCGACGAGTCCGTGCTAGTGATCTGATGGATGATTGATTATATATATTCAAATCGAAACTTGAAGATGGACTCTTGCTTTTCTTATCAATGTCACTTCAACTGATTTGTAATTTAGCTCTGTGGTCAAGTCTCAATTCAACTTTTATGTCTTAGTTTCACATTGCAGGAGATCCCAGAAGTTGATACCTACATACACATGAGATGATATAGTTTTCAATGGAGTAAGGCCCTTAAACTGTGATAGTCCCTATGAACGCAAAATGTGAGGAAAAGTGAGATTTTTGAAAAACTTGAGATGTCCAAGGGCGCTTTTAGCCATGAACCTTGAAGTCTACGCCTCCTTGGCGTAAGACTTCAATTTACACGCTTAGCTGTGCCTTTGTTAAGTTGATCCTGTTTATTCAAACTGGACAGAACTGAAGATGGATTGTTTCATGTGCTCATTGGCATTGAGGATCAAGAACAGAATTCATTGAGTCTTCTTTTAAGTCAAGGGCTTGTGAACCATGATGTTGAATTTGAACAATTTTGTCTATCAACCTGTACTCAATCTCAATTTCTCTTCAGATCAAGTTCATCAACCAGGACAAAAACCTACATGAATGATGACATTGACATTGTGCAGTAAAATCAAGATTAATTCACTGTTCATACCACATACAATCCCTTAGATGCTTTGAATTATGCGATAAATCTGATACTTATCTAATATAAATTACAGATTACGGACAAATAGCCCCACCTCAAGGATGCCTTTACCAACTCGGATCAAAAAATCGCAAAATTGATATCAACTTATCAAGGTAAGCAAAATGAATCACAACCTTTGAAATCAAAAAAATGATAAAAGATGTGATACATTGAATTATATTTCCAAAACAACCAGAAAAGAAGACAAAGGTTAAAGATACAATCCTTCTGGCATTCCTTCTTGTTTAGTATGAAGTACCTTTTCCCTAGCCGATCTAAAATCTTTAGCAGTCACTCTCATCCTACGTTCACGTAATGCTAATAAACCTGCTTCAGTACAAACCGCTTTGATATCCGCTCCACTTAATTCATCTTTCATCATCACAAACTCATCTAAATCTACATCATCTGATAAGGTCATTCGACTTGTATGTAATTTAAAGATATGTCGTTTCGTTTTCACATCTGGTAATGGAAATTCAATCTTTCTATCAATTCTACCAGGTCGGATTAATGCTGGATCCAAGGTTTCGATCTTATTGGTTGCCATGATCACTTTTACATCTCCTCGTGAATCGAATCCATCTAATTGATTCAACAGTTCTAACATCGTTCGTTGAATTTCTCGTTCTCCTCCTGAATTAGAATCATATCTACATTAAGCGACAAAGAACAAAAAAGTATATCATTACTACACTAGTTCTTCACTTTTAGTTTTGGTATAGAGCTGTCTTACCGTTTTGTTCCTACTGCGTCAATTTCATCAATGAAAACAATCGAAGGTGCATGTTGTTCCGCTACTCGGAATAGTTCTCTGACCAACTTTGGACCATCTCCAAGGTACTTTTGAATCAATTCAGAGCCTACCACTCGAAGGAATGTACTAACATTGAACGATTTCGATTCAGCAAGTCAGTTTTGGTTCATTCCAAGTAAGTAATCGGGTTAACTTACGCGCTGGTCTGATGGGCAACAGCTTTAGCCAATAAGGTTTTTCCAGTACCAGGTTGACCATAAAGAATGACACCCTTGGGTGGTTTGATTCCCATCTCTTCGTATAACTCCGGATGAGTAAGTGGTAATTCAACTGATTCTTTGATTTCCATAATTTGCTAACGTAAACAACCAAGAATTAGACTCATGCGATAAGGAGATTGAAAGAATCTTAAAGCTTACTTGATCAAGTCCACCAATATCAGCATAACTTTCAGTCGGAGCTTTGTCTAATTTCATCACACTAACCATCGGATCTGTATCATCACCTAAAACACCTACTACACTCATCACCTTATGATGTAATAAAACACTACAACCAGGTTCTAGTAAATCTTTATCCACAAATGAAAGTATGTTAACATAATATTCAGGTCCAGTAGCTGATGAAACGATTGCATGATCATCATCTATGATTTCTTCTAATGTTCCTACACCCATTGGAGATCCACGTAAATCATCGACTTCTGATCTTTCACGTTCTGCTTTTTCTTCTTTAGGTTTAAGTCTTTCTCTGTTATTTTGAAAAAAGAAACGAACATCAGGATCAGTTTACCAATCGGCGGAAATAAGAAGTCTTTGGTGTTAAATGAATGAAAATTAAACACAAACTGATTTATAACAAATTCTTCTTCTAAGATTAAATGATCCTTAATTCGATCCATTTTTAATAATTTCAATTTACAACGAGACGTAGGATAAACTGCTGGTAACTTATTGACTGTTGATGGACCTCTTTTCTTTTTGGCTTTACCAACTCGTGTAGGTAATGGAGGTTCCCACTTTAATAAATGAACGTTATAAATTGTTTGAAGAGTAAGTTTGTTTTGTGTATTGAGATAGTATCCAGAATGAAGTTTCGACTGACTTTCTTTTGTTGTGATTTTTTATCTTTACCGTCCTTTCCGGCACCAGACATGTTTGAAGGTCCATTACCCTGTGAAGATGATTGATAGTCAGTTGGCTTGGATTGTAAGATGATGATGATGATAGTTAGCATACCATGATGTTTTGATGTTTTGATGTTGATAAATTGGTAAATAGTATCTGAAGTGTGAATGGTTAGTGGTGGTGGTTGGTCAAGTTGTTGTTGAGTTGAAGTCGAATTGAATTCGATCAAAGTGACGCAACTGCTATTTACATACAATCTTCATGCCTCAACATGTAGCCCTGGCTTAATAGCATACATACTCATTGTATCCTAATAAGTGAGAGTAGCTGTTTATCGCGTTCCGTAAACCCACATCTTGACCTTAAAAAAGCATGACCAAGACATATCCCAGGGTGTGTATGTAGCTTAAGCCAGCCCTTACCTGGTTTAGTACCTTAGGGTATAAAATTTTCTGATTTGTATTTCGGTTTTGGTCAAATCAAATCGACTTGCCCTTCAACATCAAATCGGTCATCCCTTTGTCTGATTCTTTCCCTCACTTCATATCATCGACCACTTCCCAAACTTCCTCATCGTTCAGTCTAGGTCACTTCGTCTATCTTTCTAATCAATAGATTTCACTTCACCTTCACATCTCTAAGCACTCGTCAACTTTTGTTTGACTATCACTGTCTTTGTTACTAAACAAAACTTAAAACTTTTTACTCAACATGTCTTACGGTGGCTATAGTGGAGGATCTGGTAGCTATGGTGGTGGAGGTGGTGGTTACGGGGCCAGCTCTGGTGGGTATGGTAAGCTTTTTTGTAGGGATTTCTGATCCATTCTACCTTTCTTTTTTTGTCCATCTCCTAACTCGAACCATTTATTATGAAGGTGGTGGTGGCGGAGGTTACGGTGGTGGAGGTGGTGGAGGCGGAGGTGTAAGTTCATCTCGAGTGCTTTTATCACACGAGTCTTTCATACTCACTCTTGACTTGACCTGATAGGGTGATCGAATGTCTGGTCTCGGTAGTGGTCTCGGCCGCCCCAAGTGGGACACTACCACCTTATCTCGTTTCGAGAAAAACTTCTATGAAGAAGACCCACGTGTGACAGGTCGCTCAGATCGCGAGATCGATCAGTACCGTAAAGACAAAGAGATTCAAATCTTTGGCAAAAACATCCCTAAACCAGTCTCTAACTTCAGTGAGGCTGGTTTCCCAGACTACATCATGGCCGAGATCCGCAAGGCTGGCTTTACCGAACCTAGTCCTATTCAATGCCAAGCCTGGCCGATGGCCCTCAGTGGTCGTGATGTGGTGGCTATCAGTGCTACCGGATCTGGAAAGACCATTGCTTTTTCACTTCCCGCGATGATTCACATCAACGCGTAAGTCGAGTTTTGATTCTCCTACTCAACTTGTCACTCGAATTAATCTTTTTTTTGCAGTCAACCCCTCCTTGCTCCTGGAGATGGTCCGATTGTCTTGATTCTCGCTCCTACTCGTGAGCTGGCTGTCCAGATTCAAGGCGAGTGCACCAAGTTTGGCGCATCATCTCGTATTCGAAACACATGTGTGTACGGTGGTGTACCAAAGGGTCAACAGATTCGAGACCTCAGCCGCGGTGCCGAAATTGTCATCGCTACTCCCGGTCGTCTGATCGATATGCTTGAGTCGCGGCGGACCAATCTTCAGCGGGTCACTTACCTTGTCATGGACGAAGCTGATCGAATGTTGGACATGGGTTTCGAGCCACAAATCAAAAAGATTCTCGAACAAATCAGGCCTGATCGACAAACCCTCATGTTTTCCGCCACCTGGCCAAAAGAAATTCAACGTCTTGCAAATGAATACTTGAAAGATTTTATTCAAGTCAATGTCGGTAGTCTAGAGCTTACGGCCAACGTCAACATCACTCAGATCGTCGAAGTGTGTAGCGATTTCGAAAAGAAGGGCAAACTGATCAAGCATCTCGAGAAGATTTCCGCTGAATCCGCCAAGGTCTTGATCTTTGTGGGTACCAAGCGTGTGGCCGACGATTTAACCAAGTATCTCCGACAGGATGGATGGCCTTCTCTTGCTATTCATGGTGACAAGCAACAAACTGAGCGTGATTGGGTGCTCGGAGAGTTCAAGAGCGGCAGGAGCCCTATCATGATTGCCACTGATGTCGCTTCTCGTGGTTTAGGTATGTATTGATATTTCATTTAATCCTCTCCGTCCTTCTACTCCTCTCAACACTCTCATCCGATCAAGATACATCACCGCAATGTTCGCATTCCTTTCACGGGGCCTCAAGCAGCAAGTCGTGATCTGCGATTTGCTCCCCGTGTCGCAGCTAGTTCCTGCTGTTGGTGCCCAATTGATGTCCTCCGACGGTCTTTTGGGTCGCTGTCCTGGCGCGTCAGCATGCTTGTCTTGCCTATGATCACATTGGCTTGATGCTTGAAGCATCAGCGCGGCGCGTTACATTTACTGAATTTGAAGCCTTTTATGTGCTTCGGAAGAGAAACCTTCCTTTGATGTAATGTACGCGTGGGCAGCGTTCTATGAACTGTCTGTGCAGGTTTTCCAACCCATAACTCTCTCTGGAGGTCTGTTTCTCTCGTGACAACTCTCTTTCTGGCAAGTTCTGGTCATCGTTGCAGCCTTGGACCCTTCGATCATACATTTCTCGTACGAGAATTGCTTGAAGAAGTTACCATTGCACGATGTGATCTGATCTACTCGAAGCCTTTGAGATTCGCGTTATAGACCAAAGGAGTAGTAGTAGGGTGAATGAATCTCATCAGACAGGATAGGACCGACATCATCGCCTTCGACTCAACTGCAACATCGTCAACTCTCACCACCAAAGTTCGATCATCAAATCACGTCAAGTTTATCGCTCGACTGCAACTTTCAATTCAGCAACCCGACCCTCACCTTTTTTATCTTTACTTCCCGCCTGAAAAAGGCGAACCCGTCATCCTTGCTCATCACACTTTTTGCTCTTGACATGTCCCGACTTCCGACTTGAATTGTTAATTACGATAGACGTGAAAGATGTTGCGTATGTTATCAACTACGACATGCCAAATGGTATTGAAGACTACATTCATAGGTGAGTTTCTTCCTACTGTTGTGCTTTCTTTCTCGGTTAGCTCACTAAATTTCTCTATTCAGAATTGGTCGTACCGGTCGTGCCGGTCGAACAGGAACTGCCTACAGTTACATCAGTGCCGACCAAGGCAGTAAGTGTTACTTCTAGTTTCACGACTTCCCCCAGTATCTGACCAACCTTGAATTCTTTGGCGTGTATTACAGAGCTGGCCCGTGAATTGGTCAAGATCCTCCAAGACGCCAAACAAGTCGTACCTCCTGCGTTAGTTGAGTTGTCCTCATTTGGTGGTGGTGGAGGCGGAGGTCGTCGTGGTGGCGGTGGGTACGGTGGCGGTCGAGGTGTAAGTGAAATAGTCGATCCATCTTTTAAGACTTGTGCGCAAGGCGCTTATGACTCCTTCGATCTGCTAGGGTGGTGGTGGCCGTTACGGTGGTGGTGCGACCGGTGCCAATTCATACGGAATGGGTGGTGGTGGTGGTGGTGGATCATCACGCTGGTGATATCCTCATCATCCACTTTAAAAGAGACACGACCCGACTTTAAGACGAACTCGAGATCCATAATGGAAAAAAACTAAATCTCATGTGATATATACAACATTTTGTTTCTGTGCTACTCTATCCTTTTTTTATTATATGATGTCGTTATGTGAAACACCCCTATACTAGATCTCAACTTTATGAATTTCCCTTTTGTTCTTTTTGTCTCTTTTTGAGAATTCTTATTTCTTTGGTTATTCAAAGCTTTATAAACACAATTTTAAAACAATTCTTAGTGTCGCGTGAATTCTGGCCGTTTTCTAATTTGCTTGGGGTATATAATGAAGCAATAGAATTCAAATGTTGAGATACCCTCTGGGTTGGTACAGAATCCAGGCTTTTGGAACACTGTGACGTCACATTACTCTCGTTGGTTTTTTGACCATTTCTGAACAAATTCATGATAGGATTATCGAGATTTATCGAGATCGCTCTCTTGGTCTCCGATGTGGGCTGCTTCGAGTCGCTCAGCCTCCTTTCCTCGACAGGCCTTAGCATACCTGCGTGCAGTCGAGGCCTCCCGGAGGTGGAATGCTAACTCAACTCTGCGGTTGGTGGGGCTTGGGTTTAGCTGGGGTGGAGCGTGGGCCAAAGAGCAACCTCCGTTATAAAACACGCTTCGGCCTGGCGGTGCTAGGGAGTAGATTAAGTTTGCACACAGCGGGGGACTTTTATCAATAAAGGTTTCCAATAAAAGAACGACACGCAGCACTCGAAAAGCGTCACAATCATCGTCATCGCAGCTTGATTTTGCCTTATCGCCCTGCCCTCACCTGTGGTCTGTTTCCTTCGCCTCGTACAAGAGATGCCCACTGGGTATCATAACATGTTTCTGCTTCGTATGCAATGTAAACCGCGCAATACATCGCTCATGCTGTGTATCTTTACGAGTTTCTCATTCGTACGATATCCATCGATCAAACCACGCAGTTCGGAATGCTCGACTATATGAGCCTCACGAAGAGTTGGGTAGGAGAATTCTACGATCATTGATCTTCGTCACTTCTTGCTACACATTTTCGTGACCGACAAGCGAAGCGAAACTCGATATTACTCTTTACCCAAGACCCAACGGTACACGTCCATTGCCTGTTATCAATCTATCCTTACGTTTTTGTTAAACTGACGTATTGCTTTTTGTGTTCCATCAGATCCTCGCGATCTATCTTTGCGAAATACGAACAGACCCACAATCTATCCAAAGCCACTCGTTCAAAAACTATGGGGACAACAACCCTCTTTACTTTCTTTATCCTGGCTAGTTGCCTATTGGGTTTGATAGAATGCCTTCCAGCGCCGATGATTGGTCCTGAAGTTGAAGCATCAGGGATGAAAGTTCTTGGCGAAGCAACCAAGCCAGAGATAAAAGTGATTGGCGAAGGAACGAAACCAAATATCAAAGTGATGGACGTAGGTAAAAAGCCAGTGATGCCACAACCTCCAAAGCCATCTGAGAAGGAACTTTTATCGCTCGAGGCTGAGGAAAAGGATGTGTTACTTCCAAAGGTACCGTTCAAAAATGGTTAGTTTTAATCTTGATCAATTTTGCGAGCCATGCATTGCTGAGTACTTCCTTATGATCTCATTCCAACCTCGTCAAAAAGACCTACGAGATGCAAGCGACCCGATGAAAGAAGGGCTTACAAAAGGGAAGCTTCCAAAGACTGATGCAACACCACCAGTAGACTATTTTGAAGTATATAGACCTCCGCTAATAGAGCCACCAAAACGTAAGTTGCATATATATAAAGTTGAAGGTCTCGAAACTCATGATTGAGATCATTGCGTCTGTGTAGATGGAAGATACCCAATCGAATACAAGGATGATATGATGAAAGGTTTGTACCCTCTATAAATCACAATTAAAAGAGAATTGACTGATCTTATCTTCGTATCTTGTGCCATTACAGCTACAGACTTTAATCCGACAAAAGCACAAGGACAATTTGTTTTCAACTATCTTATCAAGAATCAAATAGAAAACCAAATCAAAGAAGTAGATCAGAAAGATAAACTTGTGTTACAAAGTTTGTTATCGAAAACTTCAGAACTACATGGGTTTGGAGAAAGAGATAATGAACTTACACTTTTTCAAAGTATGATGTCTAAATCGAAATCTTATTTCAAAAGCTTTTCCCCTAACCCTACAAGTCTTAGTCTTATGAAAGATACAATTCAAGAATTTCAAAGAGTTGATTATAAAATCTCTTTACGTGAAGATCTTTGGATGTTAATAACCTTTCATGCATTTCATTCATCTGAAGCAGAAGATCATTTGATTGGTTTATATCAAACTAAAGAATTTAGAAAAGTTATGATTGAATTTATTTCTAAATTGACTAAATTTGATACCAAAGAAAATGGTCTGGCTTGGCCTATACATGAAGAAATTTTGAAAATTGAAAATAAAGCGATTTATCAACTTAGAAATACTCCTTCTTATCATAATTTTATGAGATTTCATAGTTACCTTTTGAAACGTGAGTAAAAAATTCAAAATCATTTCTTGCTGAATGTTTTATCAATCTTTTTTACAATTTTTGAAAGACTTATGTTAATCTTTGATCTGAATTTTTTTCTTCTTCTCAATGAATCAATTTTCTCACTAGGTTCACATAATGAACTTATGGAGCTTCTCGATAGAGATGTCCTCATATCTCAACTCAAGAACCATAACATACACACTGATGCGAGGCGAATTCTCGAAGATTTCCACCCCAATTGGCAAGAATCAGAATCCAATGAAGAAGAAGCGGCAAAGTTAGCGATGAACCTCAAAGAAAAAGTAGATAAGTTAGACCCGAAAGAGAACGAAGTGGAATTACAAGGAGCTATGAATATTTTATTACATCTTAGAGCGTTTGGAAGTGATGAGCTTAAAACAATGATTGAAAACGCATTCAAACCTACAATAAAGACGTAAAGTATCAACATACACTCGTTCAACAGAATTGTACCTTTTCTTTTTGTTCTCTATTGAGATTACTTTCATTATTCAAACATGCATACATTATATTTCACTTTACTTTATGATTTTGTCTTCTTCTTCAATTAGGTGCTCTTTTAACCTTTGCAAGCTTGGTTCCTCCTCCCCAGACACCTGAGCTCACAAGGAAAAAGTGTTTGAATAAAGGTACTTAGTTAAGTTAGTAACAAGGTCCTTTATTGACCATGACTGCATTATTTTCCCTTCCTTCCCTAAAATCAAGATATCTTTGATGTTTAACTCAGCCTTCCTGAAATTGTTTCTGAAATATTTGGCACATCCTCACAAAATGATATTTTTCATTTGGAACTGATTGATAACTGCTAGATTTGATTGCATTGCACAGACTCTTCAATACATATTGTATGCAACTCCTTAGGACCCCAATGTTTGTTCGCATATTGAAACATTGGGACACTCAAACCCTATGAGAAGTTGGGAATTGTCTTAGGTTCAACTTGTTAGTTCAAGTTGGCACATGCCAGTCTGATGTAATTATGGGATACAAAGTGAAATCAGGGCTTGTGCCAGAATTATTTTGGCTGTAAATTTGAAGCCTGTGCCCTGGATTTCAAAATCTAGATTTACAGCCAAAAGAGTTTAGGGCACAAACCCAGACTTCAATCTTTTGTCCCACAAATATAGAGGCAATTGTGAGGGTGAAAGATGGTTGCTGTGTTTGAACTGCGTTTGGATTCCCAGTAGCATGAGGATGATTACCTCATGGCCAGCATCCAAGGTATTTTTGGATGATGACTCAGAGGTAAAGAAACCCTGATCTGAGAACTTGCATTGACCCACACTGGCGGGGATCTCTTCCTTGGATAACTCCTCAACAGCATATTAGATGGTGGCCAGCAAGGCAATCATTCTGGCAGCGCAGATGTTCTGGAACAGATCATGTTGGGCATCATGGGTGGTGCAAAATGGTTTGGCAAGCTAGGTTAAAGAATGGCTTGGTGTGCCATTCCTACCTTTGTGTTATGGGGTGCCACTCTTTTGGTTTACATGAGTTGTAACCTTTACCAGGGAAAAATGACTTGTTGTCAATGGGAACCTATAAAGCTATTATCTGGAGTTGATAGTATGTGCATAACTCAAATGGAATATAATGTTCAGGGTGATTTGATGGATTGATACCATCCATGATGATTATTTGATTTTGACAGTTCAAGACTGATGATGTTTACAACACAACTTAAATTGTTTTGTAGTTCTACTGATTTTTCCTAGAACCAAAACTACCACTCTCACTCAAATTAAAAAGGGTCATAAGACTTTGAAATAAGATCTTTCCCGATTCTATTCAAAAATTGGGCTTCAAGAGCAACTTTACTGCTGTCCACAATCTATGTTAAAAACAAAATGTTCCAAGGTACTTGCATTTGATCTGTTGCCTGTTATATGAGTTGAGTAATTTCAGCCTCTTCTAAATCAGAACAATTTTTAATGTTCCAGCTGTACAATTTTTACTTCCAAGTCTGATTATCCATTCCTTTTGACTTTTGGCAATGATGACCTTGATTGTGCAACTCTGCTATTGGCCTTGTTTTGGAATCAAAATCTTTTGAAATTTCAGTAACTTCCTTTACCCTCAATTTAGTGTTGCAAAAAACATAGGTGTATCTCCAGCTTTAACCAATGCAGCAACCAACATTGATATTGACAAACTTTAGGTACCTTTCAAGAACCAAACTTAAAGGTACACTTTTGGTATCCTCTTTTCTGGGTCCAGTTGCTTTTGTTCCATTGGAACTTGTTTGTTCCTTAATATTATTGTTCTTCATGGATCAGGTTATCATTCTTGATTATTTGCTCTTTGGATGCAATTGTGAAGCAGGCATTGTCAAATGCTTTTCCTTTGTGAGGTGCAATCTGACAAATTTTGCCTGGCCACCCAAATATTATCTAAAGGGTATCATTCTGTGTGTCCTTCTGTCAGCACCAACACACTTTCAATCAAATTCCAGAAGCCCTTGCGCCTTAGATTTTTCAATTCAATTCAAACCATTGTTTGTCCTATCATATTTTATTCTTTCATTGTGTCCTATTGTCCCTTGATCCTGGTCTTTTTGGACAAGTACATAATTTTGTTTGTTTGGTTTGATTTTTTTTGCAGATATCATCATGTGGTCCTGGATGTAACTTGAGAGCTATATACCACAATTAACACAAACATATATCAAGTTATCTTGATTGACTTGCATGGTCATGATTTGGCATCACATGTTGAGTAGGTCAAGGATGAGACTTTGAAGAAGTTTAAGTCATGTCTGCAAAAGTGATGAAGTGCATATTGGTAACATGCAAAGAAAGTAGACTGGTACACTTATAAACTTCAATAAATGTGATTAGGTGGTATCACATTAACAGGTCACCTCTTGTTGGCATGCCTGCATATTCTCTAGTCAGTCAAAATTCCAAAAACAACTGCTTCTGATCACTTGGTAAGATTAAAACCTTTTGATTTGTTTGAAAATGATCATGTTTTTGAAATCTGAATTAAACCTTATCAATACATACATCAAATTCAAACCAATGGAAAATTTATCAAATCAGAGAAAACACAAAAAGAAAACTTTGTAAGAAAATTAATTCTTAGCACCAAACATCCATTAAAACTCTTATCAAGAAACACAAGATAAATACCATGTTAAGTCTCATCCAGTTCAAAGTGTTTTCTTTTTTTTGGGTTGGACTTCAAAGAGAAATTGACCAAGATCTGAGCTGTAGATGTGTGGAAAGTTTAGTCTGGTGTATGTACCGTAACCCACTGGAAAACCATCTGGTTTGCTTTTAGTGGGAAACCTAGAGCTTAATGTTATGATCCTAGATCCCAGATCTGAGAGATGTCATATACCATGCCAGGTAGGAGGCTCAACCTCACTCTAGATTAGAGCACTTCTTGTCTACTGCTCACTGTGTAAAATACCTCATAGCACATCGATGTGCACACATGATGAGATTTGAAAAAAAGAATAATGTTTTGTTGAACTAAGTGTGCGCAAAGCAGCTGAGACCTGCATATTTGTCTCACAAAGGGATTGCTTTCTGAGCACCTGGACAAAGGGATAGTCTTTGAATCCAAAGATCTGTTCAAAGGGAAAGTCTTCAGATTCAAAGACCTGTTTAAAACTTCTATCATTTCTCTATGACTTTCTTTTTGTGTGTGCACGTCAATGTGCTACCAAGAAATTAACACAGTTGCTTTTGACCTCATGCTACAATAACTATAGTAAGTACATAGTCACCATCACCCTCACTCTCTGTACCCAAGCTATGGCCCCCAGAAGCAGACCAGAACACTTACCTTTCATCTCCATTCTAGAGAGATTTGAATTGATTATGAGATGGTAAAGAGTAAGGATCTAATGTAAAACTTAAAGGTTGGTTGAAAAACTTTAGGTTGAGCTGAAGAAGGTCAAGAATTTCATGATAAAGTCTCTTAAAGTTGTCTTGCTTGGGAGACACTTCATGGACATACATACTAGATATAAAAAAATCAAAAGGAATAAGGAAATCAAATTTAGGAAAAAAAATCCTTGGTCACAGTTAGTGAAAACAGTGTTGTACATAGATAATCTATGGTTCCATGATCTATGAAAAGATTTCTTTCTTTTTTTGTTGACTGTTAGAGATGTTGTAGCCTATTTTGTAATATAGATATTTTAAGGGTCAATAGATTTTTACACTCATCCATTTACACTCAATAATGAGTGTAAATTTGGACGAGTGTAAAACTTTACAGTGAGTGGGCCAATGTACAATTTTACACTCAATCCCGCTCAAATTCAGGAGTGCAAACAAATCACATGTAAAACCATGAGTGTTATTTTGTACATAACCATACCAAACATTGAATTTCACACTGAAACTTTTACATATCACATCCAGGGCAAAAATTCTAGGGGGCAAAAATCTTCCCAGGCCCCAGAATTTTAACTTTACTCTCTAAATCATTTACACTCAAAGTTAGACGTATCACCCCGGGAGTATTTTTTTTTAAAAGATCACCCTGAAACTCTACATTTGCACCCCATCAAAGCATCCAATCGGCATGGTATCAGCACAGTATCTGACCGGCATAACTCTGTCACTAATGCCCTTATCCCCCTGCAGCTACCCTTTCACCGTTGTAGAACTTATAACCCAACAAGGGTTATACAGAGCTGGAAGAGGATAATCTACTAATAAAATGACTAGTAGAAGTTGTCTAAGACTGCTCTTCTAAAACAACACAATCAGGAAAAGGCGCTGTTGTATTGAGTACAGATAAGGCACCAGAGAAATATAACTTTCACATGTATTTTAACTTCAAAAGCACACTTTGTATTACTATCAACACTGCTATAGTGTTATTCCCAAATGATAACTGAAGAAAATAAGCAATATCTTTGTGATATTATTCCCAATAAGTCTTTTTGACTATAAAACTAAAGTAAATTTCTCTTTATAGCTATAATAAAGGGCATATTTAAGTGACCGGGTACTATTAAAAGAAGTGTATGATGATAAACAAAATAATAACTGTGTAAATGATAAAGAAAAAAGGGGAACAACAGTCCCAAAATCATCTCAAAGTATATATAACAATGTACTCCAACTTTTACAATGGCCAACAGCCTCAAAACCAATCAAATCCGCCCAAAAATCCCTAAAAACCCTATGATGATGCAATGTAATGATTTTGTTACTAATAAATGATGTAATTTTCACAGCTAAAAGTGATCAATGACGCAACAATATGATGTACAGCACTTCTTATGATGAATACAGGTGATTTTTTCCTTGTAAACTAGCTGAAAACCAAATTTTGAGATTACAAATTTTTTCAGATGAGGTCCAATTTTTGATTACTAAAGTGCATCTTGTAGCCCTTGTGTTACTGATCATTTATGACACCCATATGACCTATTTCTGATGAGTGATGAGTAAGA